AAAACGATGATTGTAGTTAAGTCTTGGAGGAGAAATCGGCCGGTTCCAGGCCCAGAAAAAATATCTCTGTGTGTGTATGAAGGTGTTACCTCGAGCTCTCGTACGCTGCCCATTGCCTTCCCCGGGGCCTTTATTCTGAGTCAGCTGCTCTTCGGCTGCTGCGTTTTCTGTTTCTGATTTCCCAGGAATTTTCTGGGATCCTTTTACCAGCCTGGGCGTGAGGAGAAGGAAAAACCGCGTGAGGTTTCTGTAAGAACTCCGCTCCCCGTCGGGGCGATTCCCCGAGCTTCGAGTTGCTCACGTTTTTAGGCAAAAAGGGTCAAGTGGAAACGAAATGCCACCCGTGACGTTTCCTCCTCGCTCTGGTGCTTAAGCAAGCTTTTTCACGCAAAGTATTTTAAATTTTGGTTTTATTTTTTTCTTTTTGAAGGTACGTTTAAGATTCAGAAAACCCGCTTGCAGAGAGAAGGATTCGACCCCCACCAAACCTCAGACCGGTTGTATTTTCTGGATCTAAAATTGGGAAAATACGTTCCTTTGGAAGAATGCCTTTATGAAAGGATTTGTTCTGGAAAAGCCGCTTTATGATCAAGTCGGCTTCAGCTTTTTTGAGGAAAACGATGACTAACCGGGCCAGGCCGCTGGTGGGAAGCGATGGATTCCTGCGCGGTGAACGGGAAGCGCCGGGCGCAATGGCGTCTCCCTGCCCTGAAGCACATTAACCCCTGATGTCCCGTTAACCTGCCCTGACACCTCTAGAGAGTATTTTTGTAACCACTACCCGCTAGGGAGGAGTGCCGCGGTTATATTTATTTACGGAGACACGAGCTTCTCTCTGCTCCATCTCCCAACTTTACTTAACCCATTTAGATTATTCCTCCCCCCCCCTTTAACCTCGTTTGTGTTAGGTGACGTTTTTAACCCTCTTAGGGCTGGGGATGTGAGGACATTAAAAAAAAAAAAAAATAGACTTTGATGGGTGCTGTGGTGGAGGTCGGGGCAGGGCGGGAAAGCGGCCTTTGGGGTTTACTATCCCCGCCGTGGTGACAGCCTGGAGGCCGCTGCCTGAGGGAAGAGGAGGAGCTGGGCGGTTGCTCTTGGATGGTGGAAGAGCGAGTGCCGGGGTAAAGCTCCTTTCTTCCGCAGGGGCCGGGACGCGAGGCCGGGGCTCGGG